CAGAAATCGAAATAAGGCGATTACTTCATGTCTGCCCTGCGCCCTATAGTGGCTAGGATACTCAAAGTCCTAAATGTAATAACTTTCCTAAATGTAATAAAGTTCTAAATGTAATAACAATTGGTCCTAAATGTAATAAAGTCCTAACAAGTGTAATAAGACTTCAATGCAATCGTTCGACTGTGCTAATGCATTGTTGTTATAGCGGACATCCACGTTGAGGTGTTAAAGTGACAGCTGTTACACCAAAAAATCCTCTGACCAGCATTCATGTCACATTGCGGGCTCGCTGATATCAACCAGCATCTTTTTACTTACTAGTCGCAAGTCGAGTAGCATTGGCTGGAGAACGTTATACTGACAGCATCTAATGACAGCTGGCAAAACAATGAGTACGCTGACCAATACCTCCATATATCACTGGCTCAGACTCTTAAGTACAATAGATTTTGGAAAAATGTAATAACGTTATACTTGCGCGATCAGTGATGGAGGTGCAAGTCATAAACAAAATTCAGAACTTGGACAAGGAAGTCTGTAGACTGCAGGTCTTTACTTTTTACACCAGACCTTGTTAGCATGCACATTTCGTTTCCCAATTCGGACCTTGTGGCAGCTATTTAGAAAGTTATTGTTTTCAAATTGTCGAATAATCTCGTGATTATATGAATAGCGACGAGATGATTTTTCTCCCCAAGAGGAGATAGATTGGGAACAATTGTGTTCTCTTGATCTTGAAATGCGTGCAACAAATTCACCAAACAAAAAAGGTACTGCGTGGATCTGCATCAAATTATATACTCAGTGACTTACATTTAACAGGTGTAAATGAAAAGAAGCTGCTGACCAGCTCATTCAAAATGGTTATCTATGTCAAAGGTTGTTAATGATGTACTGAGCCCCAAAAATTCACGCAAAAATTTATGCTCTTTCTTTCTCTGAGATGTGAGTAATACTAATCGCGTGAGCCGTTTTTAATGGTCTACTAATTGATTAAAAAAAAAGAGAGAAACATGGTTTACTCGACACGCTGATCTCCTTAACGATCAAACATTAGCTAAAACAGCATAACCTGACTGAAACGGACTTTTTCTTCTACTGAATCACCATTATTAGAGTGACGTGCACATATACGATGTGCAGCTACCGGGCGATACTGGAGAGCTGACGAAAGGATATCGGTCAAAGAACTCAGACCGTCGTGATAAGGCACTATAGTACGAGGGGCGTCGCATAAATCATCAGAGGTGAACAGAATAGAAGCTGAAGAATTTGAAAGAACGGGAACAGTCTGGTGTGGGGATGCTGGCTTTCTCTCTGTGGGATAATGTTTGTGGGAGTAAGTCGAACTAAAATCACGAGGAAGGAAATTTTAGTGTACTTAGAAAGTGATCCGTGCGATAGCGACGGCCTCCCTCTTTTGGAGCATTTGGAAGATGATGAGTTCGCTTGCTGGAACGACCATTTAACTCATATGGCGCGAGACGAGACCTATGTGGATCAGATAACAATGTATGCACCAGCAAACCTGTACAACATCGACATCCAAATAGTGTCCAGTTGGTTGAAAGCGTGTATTTAGTTCTTCAGCAAGTGTTTCAGCAGCTACCGTTTACCTTGGATACTTTGCTAAGAACCACGGCAAACATTTTATCAGCTTGAAACAAGTTACGGATTACAACGACGGTAGTGAAGAAGACTACGAAGCAAATGACCCAGGAGAAGGAATTTCCGAGGATTATGCAAATAAAATGCATATGGAGTAGGACTTTCAAGTAGATGATACTGTTGATTATTGGGATGACATAGACGCAAAAAGTGGACCTGATAGTATCGTCAATGATAGTGGCAACAAGGATATGACTGCAGATATAGAGAAAGGATTACACATGGTTGGCGAACGAACGAAACGGAGCCTAAATAGAAAAATAAAGTCGAGAAAGGTATTGTCAACGATGGTGATGAGCTAGTAGATGTTTATTTTGTTTTAGACGTAGACATCGACTTATTTGGGGCGAGAAGGGATGTCGAATGTCACATTGCAATTCTTCTTCTTTGTAATTGCAGTCGTAAGTGTGGGGCCTTGTGGTGACTAAGATTAGACTAGGCTGGGGCGGTAGGTGCCGAGCATTCTGACTGTACAGCATAACTGCACAACAACTGAAACCAGCGGTCAAACGTTGGGCATGTGCGAGTGGATCAATCTGGCCAGCCGCGCACAAATTCCGCGCGCAAAATTTTCAACGAAAACATCAAGAATCAACCGCTGTTGCCAAATAAGTACAAGAAAATTTATAGAAATCTGCAAAAATAATTAAAATAAGGGAAAAGAAAAATTGGGGACTTTTCAAACGCAAAGCTTATTCAAATACTTTATCCTACTGTTTTAAACTTAACTATCAATACGCCTCTGCGCTTCTAAAACACATTGACTTACCCGCTTGTGTGGTTGATTGTAACTTTTGGACAATGTCTGCGACGAAGTTGCAGAAAGCGGTAGAAGGGCTAGACAGTTAAAACAAAGAAAACATTTAAACGACCCTCTTGAGTTTATTGTGCTATAAACACAGCTGGCTCTCCTTCTTGATTCTAAAACTAAGCAAATCATTCTTGGTTATTTTTTTAGCGAAATCTTTTTGCTTTATATCAAACCCTTCATTGACTAAGCCAAAGGTGAAATCTATCTTAACTCGAAGTCGTTTACCGTAGTTTCTTCCAATTTTGGCTAATTTTCTCACGCTGAAATTATCATACATACTAAATAGAATATATAATTTCAACTTATACTGTTTATCTGAAGAAGAATGCCTTCCCTACTCTCGAAAAAATCCGTTCAAAACATCAGGAACATTAATTTAGCGGACGATGCTTATTTACCCCGATGATGACCTAGTGTCGAAAACGTTTGGTTTTTACTTTTCAAATAAATTCTTGCTTTGTAAACGGCTCATTTTTAAACCCAAGCTAAGGTTTTAAAATAATTTTTCTTTCAATTTCTGTCTGTTTGTTCTCAAGGTCATATTTCAGAGTATCCGGCGCGAATTGTGTAATATCGCTAGGTTGAATTTTCTTAATTCAAAAGGGAAATTTCCCTTCTTAAGGCATATCACGCTACATTTGCTCTTTCTCAAGAACAATAGAAGGACTCGGTCGGAGCGCAACCTCAGTCACCTCAACACTGAGAGCAAGTTACAGAATGAATTCGTGATGTAATTGCGCATTTCCGATGTATAAATCATTACGCTAATCAGTCTCATTGTGCGCCGCCAAGAAACTTGAATTTCAAGGTAGATATATTACAAGACTAACCACAATTTAGGTGCATCTTTCTTGACAGAACAAGAAAGATCGCTACATGTTGTCGCTTTCTGATCGATATCCCTTGTTAGTCCCTTTTTAAACAGTCATAACAGAAAAGAGAAAGCAAATACCTTCACCAAATACGGAGACGATGGCTCATCGCGAAAAACAAGAACATTTTTCAACCTTTTCGCACAGTAAAAGAAATATCTCTTAAAGTCTAACTTATAGTAGAGGTGAAGGGTTGCATTTAAGACCATTTAATGAGTTTTAAGACTAAGGAAAGTACATATACTGCGGGACTTTTCAAAAGCCTTCAGCTGTCAATATTTCTGCGTCATCACTTACGATTTCTTCCAACATAATGTCCACCACAGCTTGTGGTATATTTTGGTAGACGCTAAGGAGAAATTGAAATACAACATTCTAGGTATTGAGAAGAAAATGCAAATAATGCGCCTTTATCACGTCTTTAGGCAGTCTGGAAAAGTCCCCCGCACAGTGTTGTAAAGCGCATTAGAGCATTCCATGGAAATGCGCTATAGAAATCGATATACACTCTTATATCATTATTATTTATCTGCTGTCGAGTAACGGGTTGTATCTCTGAATATAGGCAATGTTGAAGTTTATGTAAATTCTGTTTGGAAACAGTTTCCGCTTCAGTTCTTTCACAAGTCCTGGACTGTTCCTAGTCTGAATGGTTAAACAACACTGTGGTAATATTAAATTAATTACATCGTTCGTTTACACCTGCTACAGTGCTTCAAAAATTCGGGTTTGTCTTCTCATAAATTTCTTTAAGATCCCAAGGTTAAGAGTTTTCAGTTTTCATGCGATGATTCTTCAACAAATAGTCGCAGGTTTTTATCTTTTAAATCTGCATCAGTAAATGGTCAGACAAATAAATTCGTCTCGTCCGTCTCGTCTCCATGTCTAAACGTAAATGTGGGGGTTTTCAGTGAAACGTGATTGGCTGTTTTTCATTACCGTGACTCGTGATTGTAAGAAGTTAAAAGCCGTGAACTGTGCAGGATATGCTACTGAGTCGCGATACGTGAAACAGAGATACTATTTTCCGTTATCCATTATTGCTAAAAAGAAAACGCTTTTTTTTCTATGAAAAATTACACTTGCCGAAATAATAAAATCTCTTGACCAAGCCTGTTCGGTCAAGATGACAGGATTGGTCAGCGTTCTATTGATTTGGGATCTGTCAATTTGATGCCAAAAGCACATCAGTATGAAGGTTTGTAGCCAATGCTTCTCGGCCTACATCTCAAGCAAAAAATAAAAAACCCTGATTAAAATCAGCGAGAGAACCCACAATACGCCATGAATTTTGGTCAGAGGATTCTCTGGCGCAACAGTTGTCACTGTAACATCGCAATGTGAATGCAGAAGCACAGTTAAACTATTGCATAGGAGGCTTATTACATTTAGGACCAAGTGTTATTACATTTAGGACTTTATTACATTTAGGAAAGTTATTACATTTAGGACTTCAACGCAAACTCACATTTCGTATTCATGACTGTGATGCGTCCCTTGAATACAAGAGATTTGCTGTCTTTTCCTTTCCTTCTTTTTTGTAAGGCTACCTCAGCGAAGGAAATTCGACACAGACTGTTTCTGATCTGACAGAGAAAAGTAATAAAACTTTACTCAACTCAACACACGTCTAGGTCACGTTATTAGCGATGGAAACAAAGTACTTTACTCTGAAAAGTGAACTACTCCATGAAGATGAGCATGCAGCCATAATAGAGATGTTGCAGTCTTCAGATGCTGAGAGCTCGTCAGACGATGATCTTTCTCCTTGTTCAAAAGGACAGCTTTTGCCTGAACCCTCGACTGGTGACTCGTCAGTGTGGAAAGCCGTAGCGAATCTTATCAACTTTATCGAAGGTGTAAGCTTTTTAACTCTGCCCTATGCACTCAAACAGGGAGGAATTGGTGCCTTGGTCGCTTTTATCATAATTCCAGTTATCCTGTGGTATATGGGAACTCTTCTAATTGACTGCCTCTATGATAAAGACAGTGAGACAGTGAGGGCAAAAAATTTCGTGCGAGGTCAACCTTTAACGATCTGGGTGCTGAGCTGTCACCTAAATATGGTGGGTACATTCTGTCCTTTGTGGTAAGCATCGAAGTGTTCTTTGTGTCTGTGACGTACCTCGTGCTCTTTGGGTCCGTCATACACCACGCCTTTCCACTTGTGCCCATCTCAGAGCGCCAGTGGTTCTGCATCGCGGGAATTTTGGTTCTACTAACAACTTTCCTCCAGTCCCTTTCTCAAATCGCTTGGTTGAGTGTTGTCAGTATCTTGGGTTTAGTTGTAGTTGTAGTGAGTGTCGTATGGTATGGAGCAGAGAATACGCACAAGTGGAATTTTAATTCTCTCCTATTTTGGAACAGTGAGGGAGCCATCAATTCTGTACCCGTAATAATGTATAGTTATGCTGCAGCTGTGATTTTTCCTTTTATAGAGGGTAGTATGGTCAAGAAAGAAAATTTTCGCAAAGCATTAGCTTCGGCTTACATCGTAAGCGCTTCGACGAAATTACTCTTTTCTTTGCTTGCATTTCTTGCATTTGGCTCTAAAACTAAGGATGCTGTTATCAACAATCTTCCCCCGGGACCTGTTCATATGGCAGTTAGTTCCTTTTTCGCATTCAACTGCGTGCTCTCTTACGTGCTTAATCTTTTTCCCATTTTGGAGACAACTCATAATTCAGTTATAACACATGTTCGGAATGATAAAAACCCTAGTTTCTTCACGTATGCCATTGTGCGAGTCACCCTTGTTCTTATGACTGTCGCAGTGGCTATATCCATCCCAAGTTTCTACGTTATTGTGATGTTTGCGGGAAGTACAATGGGATCTTTCTTGGAGACCATCTTCCCATGTGTTTTGCATTTAAAACTAAGATACAAGCAGTTACATTTATACCAAATTGTTGTTCATATACTTTTGCTATGTTTCGGGATAGCTGTAACAATTCTCGGAGTCGGATCGTCGATTAAAACTATAATTGAGTTATATGAAATATAAAGCTTTTTAGAGTCGTCACTGAACCTGGTGTAGAGAGAGGTATACAAGGAAAAATAATTTTGCCTCGCCTTAGGCGGTGATCTATTTCCGTTAGGAAAGAAAAATGAAGATAATAGAGCACAGTTCAGAAACAGTTGTGCGATGGATAAAACGTTCACTGTCCTGGTTCAGTTCAATGCTAGTTACTCCGTCCGGATATTTGAAGAAAAGCGGAAAGCAAATTTGCCACACCTGATCATGGGTTATACTTGGGTGATAGTATACAAATCAAGAATTGAAATTGTGCAACAACAGTCATAAAAACCTTAGCTTTATTTTTGCATAACAGATGGTACATTTGAGCATTTATTGTGGTACACAAACAAAACATGGGAATGACATCCGATTTTCAACCCAGAAAGTAAAAATCTTCTTAAGTTTTTACACACATCGATTTAATAAAAACGGAGTAGGTTTTTACGTCTGGCGCTACAAATCGATCCATGGATACTATTGCAGCATTTCTATTTTTTTTTCCTTTTAAGTCAAACCGATTGGTTCGAAAATGTGATTCTAAATTTGATATATAGGAGAATAGAACTTGAACTGATCTATCTTACGTCCAGAAGACCGATTCGTGGGTAACATCTGACATACAGTTAAATACTTGCATAACTTTCCACTTCGTTTAAGATCTCTGTAACACAGCACGTAACTGTCCTAAACAATTGGGCGTATCTATTACCAGGAACTATTGGATATGATCTAGAGACATTCTCGCATTTTCAAGCAGTAAAAGGGATTATCAAATCCATTAATGAATGTAATCTAAATCTTCTTTCTAAAACGGATTTTTAGTGAATAAATCAATAAATAGAAAATCTTTTGCCATTTTTGTGATGCATGCCATTAACCTAATGACATATGACAGCATTCATTTTCAATCGACAATGCGTTCGCAGGTGGAGTAGTAATTTTCGAATTCTACGTTTGCCATTTTCCATGTGCACTACTTATAACTTTTGACGCAAACTTGAATATCGCACACGCCACTTTCTCTAGTGATCATTTTCGGCACCATACCATGCGTTCATTATCTCCACCTACGTATATTGCGGTAGTTTTTTTTTTTTTTTTTAACATGCCACTGGACATAGGGCACCAAAGATTCCGTGTCCAAAGCTGATTGGCCCATTTACTATTTTTTTGTCTAAAAAATTCGATTTGCGATAAAGCTGACTTTCGTTTAGATTCGTCTCGATCATATTGATCACAAACCATTCCATTTCATTCATTTTTATTGCATGCTGGCCGAGAAGATATGAATCTCACACTGATTCGCATATCTCATCAAGAAACAATAGTTTCCTCCCTTGGACGGAATGATCTCAAAACTTCTTTAGTGGACTGATGTCCGCTTTATTATGGTCGCAGCCATTGGTGAGATCGTTTGATTTAATGGGTACTAAAACTTTACAAGGGTATGGAATTGAAGACAACCCTTGTTCAAATTGCGGGCAAAATCTCCTTATGGTTAAGGGACGACTAGGGTTCTTAACAACTTGCCGGACAGTATTCTTCACCATAATACTAAAATTACGATTTGGAGGATCTCACCGACTCTGAAATGCAAAGTAAAGATTTTCCAATAATTCCTGAAATTTTAATCCCATTCCTCCTCCCAGTCATCTTCGGCATGATTATCTTCTCTGCCATCCTCCCCTTCCTCGCCCCCAGCCTCCTCGGGCTGTCCTCGGTAGCTTAGAGTGTTCAGTAATTCTCTCATAGCGACCATCAAGTTTTCCACGCCGCGCACAAGCTCCGTGTCCCGTAGAGGTCTGGGTCCACCCCCTGCTCCCTCAACAGGCTGCTCAAGCCTCACTTCCACGTGAGGTCCATTGGGGGTTTGGGGACTGAAAGATGGTAGGAGCGAGCGAAAAAACATAGACAACGGACCAGAGTTTTCTCCAACAGCTTCAATCCTCCTTAAAGAAGACAAAGAAAAGCTGATAAGCCCTTGCAACTTCAATATGGGAAGCTTATTGGTTGTTATAAAATTGTGACAAGTTATGACGTCAATTTTAGAATTTAATTTTTTATTTTCATGGGAAAACGAAAGAGCCAAACAAAGAATTTCTGGGAACACTGTAAAATTCTTTTTCATTCTTAAATTCTGGTCAGCCATCTTTCTTGAAACTTATGACGTCGTTTTTGCACACTTAAAAGTCACGACTGAGTGCGTATAGTTCATGACGATGTCAATATCAACCGTTTTAACATTCGAGCGCGCATAGACGATGTCACTAGTTTTGAGAACGATGGCTGACAAATATCGAAAATGTCAACTGAGGAAAAACACTCTGGGGCTGGGTTCAAAGAAATTCTTTGTCACCGTTGCTCTAGTCTGATTCATTCCTACAATAAAATAAGGAAGGAGGAGATCACTGATTGCGGTCCATGTCCACTGAGAATCAACATTTTGGTTGTTATTTTTCTTCTGTCACAAAGGAAAGAAGTGATGTCAAATAGAGGAAACCGCACAGACACTTGGGTACATTGGTACACACGTTCTTCTAATCTTAAAAAAGTGAAACGCCACCTCGTTGGCCTTGAATATCCTGTCACTGAATCTTGGGGAGGCAGCGGATCATAGGACAGTAAAGGAACGTTCACCAAATCCTAAAGCAAGATCGTAAAATTCATAATAAAGAACGATATAAAGTGCTTTGATTGGTTGAAACAGCAATGTAACAATTTCAGACTTAACCGCCCTATAATATAAATAGGAGTTCAGGACCATTAAGAATTTGTAAATGTTCCACCTACGCTACCAAGAAAAGTGGAAGAAGCACTTCAAAAAAATCTCACCATGGGAAGTGACGTAACAGCATCTTTGATATCTATGATAAAAGAAAAAGAAAAATTTCTTAATTTACTAATTTACTCCATTTTCACTGCATTAATTTTTGCAGTGGGGAAGGACTAGAAAGGAACATACGAACCATTCGTGCTAGTCCACCCTCCCACCCCAGGGGAGGACATCCATCACACAGTAATCTCGTGTGTGGGAAATTAACGTCTCCTACCCCAACCCTGCAGGAGACGGGACCTCCAGTAAACCCACCCATCCCACCCCAGGGAGGACATCCATCACACAGTAATCTCGTGTGTGGGAAATTAACTAGGAGTCGACAGCTTCTCTTAGGAAGCTCTTACGTCGAAGAAGGCCAAGCTGTTCCACGCATCAATTACCATGGAATAGGCCAATTAACGAGCCCCCCTACCGACGATGTCTTGTGCGAGAAGAGTAACACTGTTCGCCCTCTCCTGCCTAGCTTACGTAATAGTATCAATGCAATGTGATGAAACAGGAAGATTTAGCAATTAGCAGGTATGGAGTTCTTAGTTACAACCAGAGTGCTACATCTCTTAGCTTGGGCGTCTTCATCGTCACGGGGAAAAATCTAAAATTCCAAATAAACAATCTGAAATCTCAACTGGATTAGACCAAGTTGTTTTCAGCCAAAATTCCACAAGAGTTAATTTTCAACATTCCAGTTAAATTGTAAAGCTGTGCAATCCTGACGGCACATTTCGAAAATTGGTAAAGCAAGAGTAGTACAGTCACTTTGTTATGAAATCATGACTTGGGACTCTTCGTGCGCTTTTCTATTGATAGTTTTAAAATAAAAAATCAGAGTTATCAACAGTTAAACAGGGAGAACGAAAAGTATACATGAGAGTCACTGAGAATTCAAAGTTGACAAACTTGCCGGAAGACACGAAGGAATTTAGTTTTCCATCCCATCGTTTGAGGGGGTGGTACGATCTTCAGAGATCAATCACAGGGAAAAAGCTAAGCAAAATCAACATAACCAAGATAACTTTCGACAGGAAAGTTTAAATTGCACCTAACCTACACCAAAAAGAAAGGTTAGTGAGGTTCACTCACCAGACATGACTAAGTGCCGATAAATATTTCGGGGTGTTCCTCTATAACGCACTTGTCGCCTGAAATTCAGTAACGAAAATTAATTGTTGCTTTCGTTTATAATAAAACAGTGAGATAACATAGCACAAAAATATTATTTTAACTCATCTATTCTTGCAACGATTACAGTATTTTTGGGCTCAAATCTCGCGCGAGTTGCTCGAAGGTTAGTCATGATAATAAAGGATGTTCCGAGTAACCAATCAGAGCGCGCCTTTTGACGGTATCCACTGTTTTCGTCCGAAATAATTCATGATATCGCAACATTACATCTCAATACCTACTCAGTTGAACTTCACATTCAACAAATGGCTTAAACTGCACCCGTAATTCAGCCTCAGGTTGCAAGTGGTCAGAAATAAACTATATTACTTACTTTCTTACTAATTTACATTATCAACTATGCTGATTAAACCAAATTATCTTATTAGACGCCCCACTGACGCAGCACCACAATGTCTTTAGAAAATTATCTTCTTGATTCTGACAAAAATTCGAGATTTTTAGAAAAAAAAAATTGTAAGGCTATCTGCAAATCTATAAAACTATGTCAAACATTTACGCGTAAAAACCTGTTTTATCTTGGCATGATCTTGGTCATGAATCGAACAACACAACTATGCATGTGGTCACACAATCCATGTATTTCCCTGTCAACAATCAAAAGTTGTTGACAGTGAAATATCACAAGTACAGCGCGAAGTAAATAATAATCTTGATTTCTACATATCTTAGTCTAATAGGAAGATCCACATTATGAATAGTTGACTGTGGGCGCTGACTTAAAGACAAGTTAAGTTATGGTTGCTGCTTCATGAAATGAGGAGCGCATCCAACTGGAGTTGCAGTTGTGTTTCCTACCTCAGGTTCTTTCCACACATGGTACGTCCTGCCAATGTACAGTGCCTCCAACTGCTTTAAAGCGAGGGGCTCACTACAGCCAAAAACAGAAAACAACTGGTTAACTGTGCAAAGGGTAACATATGAGAGAACGATCTTCTTTCTGAAAACAAACTGAAAATGAGGCTACTGCAGCTCTTGAGGTCATTTTTCGGTGATTTTGTTCTTCCTCGGAAGTAACAGACGCTACTTCTTGCAGTTGCCGTGTGTGTAAGTAAGATACAATAAAAGGCTGTCTAGAAAAGTAAAAGGGGTTAAAGAATACAATGGCAATACCTGTCTGCTTTTAAAGGAGAGAAAAATGGATGCTGAATGAGGCTTGAGTCCAAAGCAACATTACACTTTTCCATGAGAGGGGATAAAACCTGAGAAAATATTAACGTCAGTAAAATTATTATACGAATAAAAACACAAAGGAAAGGAAGAACAAGAGGCTTCGAACAGTAAATCGCAAAAACGGCTATTCCTTTTGGAGTGTCAATCTTGTCATTAATTTTGATTTAGCTCAAAGGGTCTAGTGTCCACCTTGAAAAAGATTTCGCCATATTAATAAGTTTTCCGTATTATCATTTGTGACCTGAGACTCAGCCGGTCCTCAGAGTATGCCTCTTTGGAATATGATACTTCGTTTGGGTTTTCTATACTACAGGGCTGGTATTTCAAAGATTTGAACAAGTTGACGGTACTTCTATAGGCTTTAAAGGAACGGCTCAAAATATCAATACACGGCTCCGGTGAGTGAGCAACAATCTCCTTGAAAACTCTTTGTCAGTCAACAACCCTAATGCTGCACTTTTCCAGACTGTCATGAAAGAACTTCCATTTTTTCAGCATCGTAAATGCAGAAACGATCATTGCCATAACATGAATTTTTAGCTTACTCGGAATTGTAAAAAATTTCCAACGGTCAAGGAACTCTTAAGAGTTTCAAAACGCAATAAATGTTAAATGACTCCTCTAAATCTGGAATTTTTATTTTTCTCATTTAAAGATTGCGCTAGTCCAAAAAAAATAAGCCTGATTAATTTATGATAGATAGCAGTGACACGTACCATTGGGAACATAATCAAAGCCGCCTGGAGCTGAAATCATAATGAATCATGTTTGAACCATTACACAATTAAAATAAGTTAGAATTGAAGTG